AGAAGCACTGAACCATTTTGAGTATATTTGGAGCCATTGCAAGTGAATAAAAGGTTGATGTGCAAAACAAGACAACAAGCTCTGTGGTTAGCTTGGCGAAACACACTGTCTTGAATAAACACTCATGCTTTCATTATAGGCTGCGGCCATTGGAAATGAATGCAGACTAATAGTCCAACACACAAGCAAAGTTCTCACTGAGTAGCAAATCGATTGTGACGTGCTGGAAAGTGTCTCTTTAGAGTCAGATCAGACTCCCTGCTCAGAGGGGAAATGAATCTGTAAAAGAGTTTAGAAACAAGGTCAGAACATTTGCATTTGGGGCCAACAAACAAGTTCAATGCTTTTTTTTTCAAAGCAGCTCCAGAGCGTGTGTGTGTGTGTGTGTGTGTGTGTGTGTGTGTGTGTGTGTGTTTGTCAATGTGTTTGGTACTTTGTGTGATAGATTGTGTGCCCTCCTTTGTGCATGTTGCTGTGCATGCATTTCTTTGGAGGTCTTTATTACATTTCATATGGGTGCGTCTGTGTGTGTGTGTGTGTATGTGTGTGTGTGTTTGTGTGTGTGTACTGAGGTATGTGCATGTGGGGAAAAGTTGCTGAATAGGTGTTATCAGGATGCAATACCAAACGTGGCAGAGAGCCATAAATAATGCAGTGACCTGTCTTATATCCCGGCTCGACTGCTTAGCACCGTTTACTGCTGCTTATTCTGGGTGTGTGCGTGCGTGTGTGTGTGCGTGTGTGTGTGTGCGTGTGTGTGTGTGTGTGTGTGTGTGTGTGTGTGTGGCCAGATTCAGTGATGTCTAAGGAGGAAGTAAGGTTAAGCAATTTTCTGTTGTTGTGTTTTTGTTGCATTCATTGTGAGTATGTCGCCTAAATACAACTTCTCCTTCAAGATAAAGCGTACTGATGTGGTTTGGATAAAAACTGTTTGCTTGGTTGTTAAATCTTGTGTTCAGAAAAGGAAAGTTGTGGTATCTTTTACAAAGGACAAAACAAACTTAGAGAGAGGCAGAGTTGAAATGGTGATGTAATATTGGATTTTGGTGTTTTTCTTTGTCAAATATTTTCACAAGTTTCATGTGCCGAGTCACCACAGAAGCTTAGATCAAGTTTAGTGTGATGCTGCAGGAAAGAATGATTTAGTACAATGTTGATCTTTTTTTCTTAATTCCATCATTGGTTAGTATCATTGTTGCACTTTCTGATAATCAACGAGACTTCTGAATCACTAAAACAAACTACAAAACTACAATGTGCAAAATCCTGATTTAAGACTCAAAGAAAGTGTAACGCTCTCATTATCGCTGCGTCATCCTCTCTTTGCAACACAAGACCATCTTTTCGGCCTCTCTCCTCTCTTCATCAACCCCCCCATCCCTCCTGTCTTTATCACTTTTACCAGTTTGATCATTCTTGACATGCATTCTTGCTTTTTCTCCTCTGTTCTGACACATAAGTACACCGACATTAAACATTCTTCCCAGCATGCAGGTCAGGGTGCTGCAGGGTGGAATACAAATTAGTGTTCTTCCTATAGATTTACTTCTAGGAGCTGTATACACTTTCTTAGAAATAGACATACAGGTGATACAACCCTGTAATCTTTGCAGGTACTCTACATTATAATTTCTGATTAGGTTATACTTTTATTGTGTCTATCTGTGTGTGTGTGTGTGTGTGTGTGTGTGTGTGTGTGTGTGTGTGTGTGTGTGTGTGTGTGTGTGTGTGTGTGTGTGTGTGTGTGTGTGTGTGTGTGTGTGCATTAACCAATCAAACAAACACCCTCACCTTCGATTAGAATGTTAAGCTGTGTAATATACAAGAGGATGTAACGTCGCCCATCCTCTCATCGCCCCAACGTGTGTCACCTGCTGCCTTGTTTTGATGTGTGTGTGTTTGTGTGCGAACGTGTGCATGTGTGTGTGTGTGTGTGTGTGTGTGTGTGTGTTAGTGTGTTTGTGCAGAATGATAGACGACACAATGTCTGCTTCCCTACCACACAAGCATATCTATCAGCCACCTGGAAATGCTGCTTTTATCAGCTGTATGCCAGAAGTGAAGAGGAGAGGGTCGATACCCTGAATATATTCATGAAAAGGAATGAGATGCTTCCTATACTCTGCCTTATTTTATTAATAGAAAATGTTAGAAAAATATGTAAATCTCTCTGACATTCTTAATGACAAACCCAGAACAAAGCGTCATAAGGATGTTTATCTGTATGGAGTATTGATTGTGTTGTTCATACCTGACTGTATACCCAACAGAAGGTTGAAGAGGAGCTGAAAGTGGTTTAAAGGCTGCAGCCAAGTTAAGATTACAGTTATAGTTATACAAAAAAGAGACAAACCTCTAACAGGCTCTTTCAGAGAGTCTCACCCAGGGGCCGACTCTAATGAAAACACATCCACTCATTTTGAGGCCCATCCCGATAACAACTAAGTATGCCTTATGAGTCCCAAGCATTAGGTTATTAATCAGTAACATTTCTCTAACAACCCTTGATGTTTCCCTCTTGCATCGCCTCTGCATCACCCAGATTTTTGGGTCAGAGACAGTTAGCTAAGCAGTTGGGCTAAATGTGGTGTTTGGCTGATGGTGCTGTGAGATTCCAGAGTGGTTAAACACTAATCCAGGTGGTGCTGAGATGAAATGCATCTGGCCGGGTTACATGGGCCTCGTAACTCTACTCCTGTATTACCGTAGGTCACCGGGGAGATTGGAAACTGAGATAGACAGGACTAGTTGGCTCACACCGTGACGGAGGAGGGAGAGAGCGATGGAGCAGAGAGATAGAGTGAGATGGGGAGGGGGGGGGGTCACTAATTGTTTACAGAGAGTGTGAGGTAGATGCCAGATATAGATGCCAAAGTGTCAATCACTTTGTGTGTGCTGCGCTCTGAGCTCTGAGCTCTTCATTTGCAGATTTTTGAGTGTATATACTTTAGTCCATTGCCAAAAATATTTTTTCAGCCATGAGAATAAGTTTTTTTTTTTTAGCGTTCCATTCGAACATGGTGTCTAGGAGAGTGTTTATGCCGTGCGGGTATGTGTTAATGTTTGCATGTGTGACTCCTCTTTGAGTTGGTCTACAGTAGCCGGTCTATTTAAAGAATTAAAATATGTCATATTCTGCTGAGTAGTTTGACTTGGCTATGACACCCTACTCAGCACACTGGCAATAAATAAAATGTCACAGCACAGCCAGCACAGCGAGACGGTGGCACAGATGAAGAAGTGACCTATACTTTTATACAGATTAACTGCCTTTTTTTTTTTTAACTCTTTGTGAGGCAGTATTTTTTTAAGATGCATTCAGCCTTTATTGAAACAATAATACATACTGTCAGGAGCTTGATGCTGAGTTTGTTTTTTCCCACATAAACAGGAAATTATCTAAGAGGTTGCTCACCGGCCAAGAGCTTCCCAGCAAGCATCCGACGATAGCAGATGCTGTTTTTATTAAATCTTACTGGTTTACTGGTCAGAGTTTTGTCCAAAATGTTCATTGGGAAAATGCATCTGCTTGTGTCTAAATATTTAGTATGTTACCAGTTTGGTGCAGGCATAATGAATTGGATGAAGTCATTCTAAATAAACGTCTACTCAACGAACGCCAAGCACCCCTTCTAGGTTTTCTCCCATAACAAATACTTAACTCAAGATGCAAACTTTTCAAAACTTAGTAATAAAATAGAATACATACAATTTTATGTGATTGTAAGGCAAAGAAAATACATGTTTTAGTTTGATCATATCCCTAAAATTAGATAAAGAAATCATATTGAGTCTCTGTTATATTGTGGCTCATAGTGGGTCATTACATGAGAAATGCTTCCTTTAAACACAGATGGTAATCTAGCATGATGGTTTAACTTGGGTTTTGTGGCTTTTAAACAATGAAGAAGTTCAGCTCATGTAGAAAGTCTGCACAGTCCATCAAACAGGGCAGCCAGCATGGTGAACAATAGCCGCCTCACATGTAATACAGTAGAGATGTGTGTGTTATGCCGTTGGGTGTTACAGACACATATGAGTTACCCATCAATGTCAGGGTACATCTGCAGCTGTGAATGAGTAGCATTGTGTGTGACACGACGCAGACGTATGACTGCCGACAAGTGGATCCGCTCAGTGACAGTAACTGTGCCATCTGGAGGGCTTACTCACTAAGTGTGTGTGTGTGTGTGTGTGTGTGTGTGTGTGTGTGTGTGTGTGTGTGTGTGTGTGTGTGTGTGTGTGTGTGTGTGTGTGTGTGTGTGTGTGTGTGTATGGGTGTGTGTGCACTTTGAGTGTGTGTCACTGTCACTGTGTGTGTGTGTGTGTGTGTGTGTGTGTGTGTGTGTGTGTGTGTGTGTGTGTGTGTGTGTGTGTGTGTGTGTGTGTGTGTGTGGCAGTCCTCATAGGTCAGAATAGGCTCTTTGTATGACATGATGCTGAGTTGACCTTTGACCCAGCATCCACATAGACACTTACCCACACACATATCTTTGTTTCTCATATCCTGTCTCATCAAACACAATGCTTATCTGCATGTCAGCCTTTTTGCCCACTTTTCCAGTGTGAAATCATGCTTATTGAGTGCACATTTAAAGGAACAACATTTACCCTACATATTGTTATTAGAAGTTTATCTGATCTGTTTATTGTATGATTTTCAAATAAATATTCTCAGGCTTTCAATTAATTGATTCCCTTTTACCTGCTGTTGTTCCTCAAAAAGTAATTTTTTCCCGTTTTTGCTTAAACTGTTTCACATTTGGAGAAAGATCTCATTCACATCTGCTCATTATGTGAATTTGTTTATTATCCTGTGAAAAATATTGAACTTATCCCAGTTTAAACCCTTTCCATAATTGACCTAATACATGACATGACACAGTGGACCAAAGCCAAAGAAGATAAACATGCTTCTGCATCCAAGTGACTTTTCCCAATTTGTTTATGAGGTTATTTTATTCACTGATACAGTCCTCTTTCTCTCTCTCTCTTCTCAGCTTCTGAGCCATGTGGAGGATTTTTAGATGCCAGTGATGCCGGCTACATCACCACTCCTGGCTACCCGCTGGAGTACCCACCTCACCAGAACTGTCGCTGGGTCATCACAGCCCCTGAACCCTCGCAACGCATCGTCCTAAACTTCAACCCTCACTTTGAGATCGAAAAACTGGACTGCAGGTAAAGACTTGATGAATTGATGGATGTGTGGATGGGTGGATGGATGGTTGGAGGGATTGTTACTGCATTGGTTGAGTTGCAAACAAAGGGATTTTAGAAAAGGGTTTACTAAGAGATGTGAAGAATTGTATTTCATTAGAGGTTGGATAGCAATAAGGAAGAGTATGAACTGAGGGAAGTTTTGACTACAGAAAAAAAAAAGTCTCTTTGTAGTATGTCTTTCACCAGCTTGCCTCTAAGTGAGAGTTGTTGGGTGTATTTGGTGAACTTCAGCCCACTCTCCTCCTGCTTCTCTGGCTTTAGCTATCCCATAATCATCACTGTGGGACCTCCCTCTGTCCCTCGTCTCTAATTATCAAAGTCTAATTACAACACATTTACTGTTCCGGCATGGTTTTCACACTTCGAAAAGACTTAACACAGATTAGAGGATTTGGTGTCGATCATTGTTTTTGGCTGTTTGACGTCGGCTGCGTGGTTAGAGTGAAAGAAAGGCAGACAGTTTCTGCAGCATGAATTAAAAATACAACGAGATGAAGGCAGACTGAAAGGCATGCTGGGAAACATGGAAGAATGCTTGCTCTCTGTCTGTATGTCTGTCTGTCTGTCTGTCTGTCTGTGTCTGTCTGTCTCTCTGTCTGCCTGTCTGTCAAAATGTGTTGGAAGCAAAAAGTGATGAGAAGGCATTGGGTTAAATTAAATTTCACAGATATTAAGGACATGTTATATATATATTTAGTTTAATAATATCAGTAACCTTAATGAGTTTGTATTAATTAGTAGATCAAGATATACAGTACAAAAGTACAAAGTCACAATGAGCTACCAGGTTCATCAGTTTATATGGTTTCTTAACCAATGTGAAAAAGTTAAACTATTGTAAAAAAAAAAAAAAAAAAAAAAAAAAGATTTGAGGACACACTTAAAGCTGTTTAGTAGCTAAACAAATGATTGAATGTTTTACTTTTACAGCAGTGCTGAACTAAATTTTTCATTTACAACATCTGGAAAGATGCCGTCTGAGAAACTCATAGTTATCCGAGTGAGAGACACAGGACACAAAAAAAACCCATGAATGCCTTGTGGTGTGTCTATGTAAAATAATAACTTCCCATTTTGAAAATAAAAAAACTAATTGCAAATGAAACAAGTTGACTCCCCTCATCTTCAGTGGAAGGCCATGTCATGTATGACTGTCTCCTGGAGCAGAGGCTTTTGGCTTTCAGGGCTCTAATGGGCTCTATCAGTGGAAAGGGACACAGATGAAACCCACTGACACATGCAAGAAGGTATAGACCAATACAGAAACACACACACATAAGCACACACACTTACACTTACAACACCCCCCCCCCCCTCTGTTCCGGTGCTTTCCCATCCAGTTATTAACATTTCAGCTGTATCAATTATAGATAGGTGAATTTCCCCACTCTGATGTACCGAAATCATTCAGACATTTCTTTGTTGGAATTGAAGCATCAATATTTCACTGTCTGGCTGTTTGTTCGAAAAGGCTGAAAGGTTGAAAAAGGCTTGCTGTGCTGCGCTCTGTTTTACTTTCACAGTGTGCTGTGGAAATGAAAAACATGTTTCTCTGTCTGTCGCCCGGTCCTCGTCATTTTCGCTCTACTGTTCTTATCCCCGGACCACTTTGATGCATTTCTCTTTCCTTCTAGCCCTCTCTTCCTCTTCTCTTTTCCCCAAGTCCCATCTTCTTTCTCCCCCCCTCTCCTCTCCTCCCATCTCCTGCCCATGCCCTTATTTCTTCTTTCTCTTTGAATTTCTTTCATCCATTTAAAGTCCACTAGTTTCCAGAAGGAGAAAATCTGGGTGAAACAACAGGCTCTGATTTATTTATGATGGTGAACACACTGTATGTATATTTGCAGCTGCTCTTTATTACAAGGCTTTTGGTGTGTGTTTAAACCGTTTTCTTGGTTGGGGTTTGCTTCGAAGTTACATTTTTTGAAAAGTAATTGTTTAATCACACCTGTGAGAGAGTGGTCTTTTGCAGCGTTGGTGGTAGCAGCTCACGTCTAATAGGTTGTTATTTACAAGTGTCATGCTGCGCAGAGCTATTTCAAGCCACAGGCGTCCGATGCCTGGAGCGTGTGTTTGTGTGTGTGTGTGTATGTGTGTGTGTGTGAGTGTGCAAGGGTAGGCTGAAATTGAGCTGTTAGGTTCAGAGGGCAAAGAGGCCAAGGAGAAGAAACAGAGTGTGTGTGCGTGTGAGGAAGTGGAGGCAGTGAGGGGCGGCAGACGAACATGGTCACCCAGTGATTGTCAGCAACATCCCTGACACACACACACACACACACACACACACACACACACACACACACACACACACACACACACACACACACACACACACACACACACACGGTCTCCACTGTGTCTGGCTGTCGTATGCTGTCTCTTTTTTCTCTATCTCCTTAAAATCCTCACATTAATTTACCTATTTTCAGAACAACTTAATCAATGTGTTTTTATTCTTGCCTTGTAGACTACATCTCAAATCTGCTGTTGATGAAAATACAGAAAAGACACACACTCGATCATCTTGTTGAGACAAAGGAGTGTGTGTGTGTGTTTATGGACAAAGACTACATTGTGAGCAAGCAAGATGGTCATTCCTAATCTCATAAAAAAAACCTCATGATACCTTCGCGCCAATCTCTCACAACAACATTAATCAGCGCACACACATACACACGTTTGCACAAACAGCATAGTTATAAATCTGCATGCCCCGCTCAGACCGGGGGTTATTTTATTATGTCACTATATTGAGGCCTTCTAATCAATTCCGACCCTGATTGCAATATAAGATGCTAATATTTAATCTATAATGCATCACATTTTTTAAAGCATTTGCTCTGGCTCTGCTCGCACAATCGATGGAGAGGTGGTGAGACAGAGAGAGATGTTTTCATTAAGATTCATATACAGGAGCCATGTAAGTGCAAGGAGACAGCTGCAGGGAGTGAGACAGTGCATGCACAGACGATCTGGGGAGCCATAGCCGGTCATGACTCACCATGACTTTTCATTTCCCATCACATGACGGGAGACATGCTAACACATTAGTGTGCCTCTGGTGACAGGTTTCAGTTATCACCCAGCAGCTGTATCTGTGCTGTGCATGTGGGCCCATGTTATGAGAACCCAACGACAGACTGATCAAGAGAGGTGTCTCTGCTTTAGATTGGGTACGTAGATCTGTGAAATGCAAAGTTCATAATCACTCTAATGTTTTCATGCAGGGTCATTTGTGGGTAAAGTTGGAGAAATGTTTAATGTTTGAATGGGTTACAGAATGGGCTACTTGTTGAACCAGAAAGAGCCTTATATTTTATATTTGCTGCAACTTTTATGTTCATCACTAGGATCGGAAGGGGTTTCGCCGCAATAAATTACACTGCCGAGTGGAAACAAGAAAAATTCAACTCTATTAACCAAACCTTAGACGACATGTTAATCGGAGAGCTTAACAGCTGCCACTGACATTTATTTCTGTAACCTGTTGGCCTTTTTTCCAGCCTTTGTGCTCAGCTAAGTTAACTGTTTATCCACCTTCGTATGTTCACAGACACAAGAATGGCATCAAGCTTTTCTACTCTCTGCAAAAAAAGCACATAAACACATTTCCCAAATTGTAAAACTATTGTTTTGAGACTTCATATAAAAGGGCAACAGGAAGAGAAAAAGTCTCCATGTGGCAGATATCAAAACAGCTGAAGTCAGAGATCTCTTTTTTACAGTGTGTGTGGCCTTTTGAGGCAGCGGTTGGTTGTCTACTTCACACTTTCCCCTTAGCTCACAGCACCGCTCTGTCTCTGGAAGCAAGATCTCTATTTGGAGTGTTTGGAAAGAACGCACCCACCCACCCACAGACACACGCACACACACGCACACACACACATTGCTGCTTAGGGAAAAGTGCAGAGTCAGGGTCCGCTGAGGGCAGGCTCAAATCATCCTGACAGCTACCTCCTCTCTCCTCCCTCTCTCCTCTCCTCTTTCCTGCTGGCTCTCTCCATACCCTCCCTCTTCCCTCCATTCATTCTCACCCTTCCTCACCCCCCCCCCCCCCCCCCCCACCCCCCCCCCCACCCCCTCACCACTGCCCAGTGGACCCCATCCATCATCCTTCATCTGCTTTACGTCTTCTTCTGTCCCACCTTCTTTTCCCTCCCCCTTTTCCTCGATGTCCCCTCTTCCCTCTTCACCTCTTCCTCTCCTCACGTCTTCGTCAATATGCATCTTCCCCTTCTTCCTTTCTCCCCCATTCCGCCTCCTCTCTTCACCCTCGTCATTCCGCAGTGTGCCAATCCTTTATAGGCCAAATCATTATTCAGCATTGCATATGAAAAAACACAGAGGCAGTGAGCCATATGCCACACTCTCCTCCATTTCTCTCTGTCTCTTTTCCTCTCTCCCCCTCCTCCCCTTCATCTCCACTCTTTAAAATGCTATTCTACTCTCTTTATCATTTACCTATATCTGTCTTCATCCTCTTTTTATCCTCCACTCTGTGTCTATCCATCACTTAAATCCTCTTTCTATATGCCTGTCTCTTATTCCCATCCTCTGCTCATCCTGCAGACTCTCCAGTCCACCTTTCACCTCGGATCACACCAACATCAGATGATGATTTTCAATATCAAAATGAGAGAAACACACAAATGCAGATGTAGTATAGGGATGACTTTCCTTACAAAAGCAAACAGTGGCAGACCATCAGTGTGGCTCTCAAATAAACTTATGTGCTGAGAAAGAATGACAAGCAGACGGGCACGTAGGCAGCGTCACGGCTATGTGGTTTACACAAAGAGTTTGGAGTAAAGCAGTGAATTAAGAAGTGATTTATATGACAGAGAAGCTGCAGTCAACGATAATGGTTTCACTAATGATTTAGACCTTGTCTTTGTACTCCGCCTCAATCAATCATTTAACTTCATGCTTTCTAGCTCTGTTTTATGTCCTCTCGTCTCCTC